ATTGAGAAACCCTAACAGTAAACCTTTTGGGGAATTATTCTTCAAGTGCGAACATGATGCTGGTCATGCTGCTCAGTCAGCGGGGAGCTGACCACGTGAGGACAAGAAATAAAAGCATGAGGAGCGAAGGATGTGACATTAAATTGATTTTTGGTGCCTGACGTATGCCCTCCGCCCCAATTGAACAGAGAGATCGCTGCCACGCCGCCGAAATCCATTCATCCAACGGTTGCCCGAAAAGGAAAACAAAGCTGAGAGACAGTCACGCACCCCTTGCAAAGGAGCAAGAACCTTTCACAGGCGAACCTCTTCCAGCGGACAGGGCAGAAAACAGCAACGCAGGCACCAAACCTGAAAGACAAAAAGAAAGAAATCACATGGGAGACAAATGAATAGAAATGCTACATGACCAGCGGAAAAGGGCGGCAGCACCAGTGACAGACCCGAGAAACAAATGAATAGAAATGCTGCATGCCCAGCGGAAAAGGGCGGACACCAGCAGTGACAAACCTGGAAAGCAAATGAATAGAAATGTTGCATCGCCAGCGGAAAAGGGCGGACACCAACAGTGATAGACCTGGGAGACTAATGAATAGAAATGCTGCATGGCCGACGAAAAGGGCGGACACCAGCGGAGACAAATGAATAGAAATGCTACATGGCCAACGGAAAAGGGCGGACAGCAGCAGTAACGGATCTGGGAAACAAATGAATAGAAATGCTTCATGGCCAACGGACAAGGGCGGACACCACCAATGACAGACCTGAAAGACAAATGAATAGAAATGAAATGCTACACGGCGCCAGCAGTGACGGACCTGGGAGACAAATGAATGGAAATGCTTCATGGCCAACAGACAAGGACACACCAGTGACAGACCTGGGAGACAAAAGAATAGAAATGCTACATGGCCAGCGGCCTTGGACGCTGGCCATGTAGCATTTCTCGACTCTATTCATTTGTCTCCCAGGTCTGTCACTGGCGTTGTCCGCCCTTTTCCGTTGGTGATGCAGCATTTCTATTCATTTGTCTCCCAGGTCTGTCACTTCTATTCATCTGTCTCCCAGGTCTGTCACTGGTGGTGTCCGCCCTTGTCCTCTGTTTCTATTCATTTGCCCATGTCTGTCACTGCTAATTTCCGCCCTTTTCCGCTGGCCATGCAGCATTTCTACTCATTTGCCCCCCCAGGCTTGTCACTGGTGGTGTCCGCCCATTTCCGCTGTTTCTATTCATTTGTCTCCCAGGTCTGTCACTGCTGGTGTCCGCCCTTTTCCGTTGGCTATGTAGCATTTCTATTCATTTGTCTCCGAGGTCTGTCGCTGCCAGTGTCCGCCCTTTTCCGCTGGCCATGCAGCATTTCTATTCATCTCCCAGGTCTGTCACTGCTGGTGTCCGCCCTTGTCCGTTGGGCATGCAGCATTTCTATTCATGTGTCTCCCAGGCCTGTCACTGGTGGTGTCCCCCCTTTGCCGGACACCACCAGTGACAGACCTGGGAGAAGAACAGAAATGCTACATGACCAACGGAAAAGGGCGGACACCAGCAGTGCAGGCTGGGAGACAAACGAATAGAAATGCTACATGGCCAGCAGAAAGCGGCGGACACCAGAGACAAATGAATAGAAATGCTACATGGCCAGCGGAAAGGTGCAGACACCAGCAGTGACAGATGTGGCAGACAAATGAATAGAAATGCTACATGGCCAGCAGAAAAGGGCGGACACCACCAGTGACAGGCCTGGGAGACAAATGAACAGAAATGCGACATTAGCAGTGACACCTGGGAAACAAATGAATAGAAATGTTGCATCCCCAGCGGAAAAGGGCGGACACCGCAAGTGACAGACCTGGGGGACAAATGAATAGAAATGGTGCATCGCCAGCAGCGACAGACCTGGGAGACAAATGAAAAGAAATGCTACACGACCAGCGGAAAAGGGCGGACACCACCAGTGACAGACCTGGGACAAAGGGCGGACACGTCTTGAGAAAGAATTGAGAAACCCCAACAGCAAACTGTTTGGGGAAAAAGTGGGAGAGAAATGCAAGGAAGTGGGAGACAAGCCGCCCGGAAACCCGACTACAAGCACCCAGCCTGGGAGACAAATGAAAAGAAGCGGGAGACAAATAAAAGAAAATGGGAAACAAAAGCAAGGAAGTGGGCGACAAGCCAGCCGAAAACCGGACCACAAGCACCCAGCCTGAGAGTCAATTGAAAAGAAGTGGGAGACACATTCAAGGAAGTGGGAGACAAGCCGGCCGACCACAAGCACCGAGAATGAAAGGAAGTGGGAGACAAGCCAGCCAGGAACCCGACCACAAGCACCCAGCCTGAGAGACAAATGAAAAGAACTGGGAGACAAAAGCAAGGAAGTGGGAGACAAGCCGGCCGGGAACCCGACCAGACCATCCAGCACCAAGGCGACCATTCTTTAAAGCATTGAGAACCCCTAACAGTAAACTGTTTGGGGAATGAAAAGAAGTGGGAGACAAATGAAAGGAAGTGGGAGACAAGACAGCCGGGAACCCGACCACAAGCACCCAGCCTGGGAGACAAATGACAGGAAGTGGGAGACAAGCCAGCCGGGAACCCAACCACAAGCACCCAGCCTGGGAGACAAATGAAAAGAAGTGGGAGACATATGAAAGGAAGTGGGAGACAAGCCAGCCGGAAACCCGACCACAAGAACCCAGCCTGGGAGACATATGAAAGGAAGTGGGAGACAAGCCAGCCGGGAAACCGACCACAAGCACCTAGCCTGGGGAGACAAATGAAAAGAACTGGGAGACAAATGAAAAGAAGTGGGAAACAAATGAAAGGAAGTGGGAGACAAGGCAGCCGGGAACCCGACCACAAGCACCCAGCCTGGGAGACAAATGAAAAGAAGTGGGAGACAAATGAAAAGAAGTGGGAGACACATGAAAGGAAGTGGGAGACAAGACCGGGAACCCGACCACAAGCACCCAGCCTGGGAGACAAATGAAAAGAAGTGGGAAACAAATGAAAGGAAGTGGGACAAGACCGGGAACCCGACCACAAGCACCCAGCCTGGGAGACAAATGAAAAGAACTGGGAGACAAATGAAAAGAAGTGGGAGACAAATGAAAGGAAGTGGGAGACAAGCCAGCCGCGAATCCGACCACAAGCACCGAGCTTGGGAGACAAATGAAAAGAACTGGGAGACAAATGAAAAGAAGTGGGAAGTGGGAGACAAGCCAGCCGCGAACCCGACCACAAGCACCGAGCTTGGGAGACAAATGAAAAGAACTGGGAGACAAATGAAAGGAAGTGGGAGACAAGCCGGCCGGGAACCCGACCAGACCATCCAGCACCAAGGCGACCATTCTTTAAAGCATTGAGAACCCCTAACAGTAAACTGTTTGGGGAAAAACAGGTCGTGAACTTTGGTTGTTGCTGAAGTCTACGTGCAGCGGGTTCCCCATATTTTGTTGCCGTGTGTGGAAAGGCACAGTTAAACAGGCAGCGTGCTGCATGTGGCATTGGATCGTTTTGGACATGCTGTTCTGCATTTTCAACATCTTTACTTTGCCCCAAGTGACATGTGAGGAGTGTGCAAGCGGACTTTGTTCGAAAACGTTGGCACGGTTGTTGATGACTGCAGGGCTTGTTTGTCATGGACAAAGCAAGCTCCACGTCGACACTTGCCAAATTGTTCGATGTTACTGCTGAGCGCTGCGTTTGTGAGACCCTTGAGTGATGGCTAGTTCAAGGTGCCTGAACGGTTCTTTGGTCAACTTGCTCGACGCGATGTACTAAGAGCCCAAAATTCTGTTTCAGGGTGGTTGTTTTGCGTTTGTTGCTGCACCTCCGTTGTGTTTCTGTAGTTCTTCGGTTTTCCTTTTAGCGACGCTGGCCGAGTGCCTTTGGCGAACCTCCCGCCCAAAAAAACTCTTGACATTGAACGAGGTGGACAAGGCTGAGCGAGGGCACTTTTTGGTGTTCAATGTGCAAACGACCAACTGGATTAGATGAGATGCAGCAGCGCAATTTTTGTTTAATTTTTCATTAGCCACCCCCACCCCCCTCATGAAGCTGGTGTTTCAATTCGTTTGATTTCTGGCAGAGTCTCTCTCTCTCTCTCTTTCTCCTTTGTTTGCTTTGAAGATTAAAAGAGGTGTTTCGAAAATTGCTGTTGTGGTTTGTGTTGGGTGCCTGGGTGCCTCAAGATTGAAACGAAATTGTGAGATTCGTGCTTGGAGCAGGAGGTGGCGATTGCAGTGTGAAACAGAACGGACGTGACTTCACCGAGATTGGTTGCCGAGCACGTGCGAGATGCCAGGTAGCGTTCAAAAGGTCGAGGTTTACAAGGTTTGCGAATGTGATTCAAATTTCAAGAAACGTGGAACAGGAGATTGATTGGACTTTCACTTCCAATCATGCCAACTTACACCCTCCGATGGAAAAAAACAAAACAAAACCATGTCGCATCAAGTATATCATTTAGGTTCACGTGCGCAGAGAAAATGTGCAATCCACCGCAGTTGGGATGCATCACTTGCATCATAGCTTGGGGTTGGTGGATGTTTGTGGGATCATCGGGCTCAGATTCGTAAGGTGTGCGATGTTCATTTTTGATTCAACACTTGCACTTTGGAATTTGTTTCAAGAAGTTTGATGTCTCAGAAACCACTTTGTGACGATGGGTATCACATGTGTAACAAGCAAGAAGTCAAGGCAATTGAGTCATGACATTTGGTACAGATGTGCGGATGTGGAAGGAATCAAATTATTTTTTCAGTTGCTCCGAATCGTTCTCAGCGTTCTTATTAATCACTGGAACCAGAACATCTCATCAAAGTCTCATGCATGATCAATGCTTCACAAACTTGACCAACAGTGGCAACAGTCGTAAACAACCAACAAATCATACAAGGTTGCCAAGTGTTCCGTGAGTCCCCATCGGGCAATCACATCGCATCAGGAGATCTGTGTGTCAACATCTCCACTTCATCATTTCTCAGACCTGACCTGGCAGACATATTCTTTGGGGCCTTTGGGGCCGACTAGCACATGCCGTTTTAGTTGATGCCGGCCTGGAGCATCCAAGAAGGGCCTGGGGCTCGAGCATGGCTTCGAGATTGGACCAGCAGGAAATGTCCTTGTCCAGCGATCCATTTCAAGACACTTTGTGGACGTGTTTGCAGATTTGTTTGAAGGAATCCTCTTTTTTGGCAAAGCCTCTTTGGCTGTCCCTGAAAAACCTTATGCACTGGTAGTTTCTCTCGGAAAAATGCCGCTGTCGCGGTCGCTGAGGCATTAAGGAAGCGCCATGTCCCACGCCACGTGCTCCGTTTCCCTGGTTGATGGCTGTCCGACGAAAGCGCAGATGGATCGCGGCTTGCGTGTTGGGGCAACAGCTCTCGGAGATGGAAGAGGTGTACGGACAACCCGCTTGCGACATTTGGACAGATGTTCATTTGATGCTCTCCTGTTGTCCAGGTACCAGAACAAATGGGTGGAGTGCATGCAGGAGCTCATGGAGCAGGTGGATCCCATCGATTCTGAGGGCTCCGTTTGGGTGTTTGTTATAACTCAGATGGGGGTTCCTGTTGGTTCTTCACTCATGGATTGGAGAGTTCTGGCAGGTCCTAAATCCAGGTTTGAGTTTCAAACATGCGACCACACTGGATAGCCAAAGCTCACGGCTTGGAAACGACGGCCCCGAGGTACAAATTGAGTACCTGCCCGTGGACGCCAAGGAAAATGGCCAGCACTTCGAACCTGGGTCCCGGACTCGGATGTTGGGGGTGCGAGAAAACATGCGAGGGTACCTCCCCCCCCCCTCCGGTTGCTGGGGGTGCAGAATTTCCGCCCAGGAGATCCAAGCTCGAGCGTTGGAGCCGTTTTTTGGATTCTTTTGGTAGACCTGGTAGCCCAAGATTGGAGCTTTGTAGAATTAAGGGGCACAAGGATCCTTATGTGATTGCCATGTGGCCATGTGTTGCATTGGGTTTCAGATGGCATGTTTCTTCCGCAACTACTTGCCGGAACCTGTGAACCTGTGTGGAGAAGTGAGTAGGCACCAATCAATCAGCAAGCTTGGAACGATGTGCCTGAAACCACTAGTCACTAGCCGACTTCGCTCGTTTTCTTCAAGGTTTCAGCACTTTGCGCTGTTGTACATCAAGTACCTGCAGATCTACAGGTCTTTCAGTGGCAAGTATTTCCTTGGTGGCAACTTTTGTTGTGCTTAGCTGAGAGGGAAGGTCAGTAGCTCGCCGCCGCGATTCTGCGATGTTAAAACTTACTTTTGAATTGCTGGGATGCACAACTAACCTCACCTTCGCTCACCCAGGAGCGCAAAAAAACACTGGTCTGGACACGCCTGGCAGGAAACTGGAGGAGTGCCACGACCAGATGGTGCACCCGCAAAAGCGCGGCAGCATCAAGAAGGCAGATGGTAAACCTCTTTCGCTCCGCGTTTTAGCCGCGGAGAGGTCGCTCCTCCCGGAACGTGAGCGAAAGACTTCCTGGCAGGTCTTGAAAAGCACCATTATCCGAATTCTGGAGTTGAAGGAGCAGGCAGTTCGTCGTGGTTACTTTTGTCGTTTCCTTGCGGGTCTTGCTGCTGGAAGCACTGGTTTTGGTTTGCTTCTGTAGTTTGCTGGAAGCATTGGACATGCGTAGGTCAACATTTGATGGTCTTGCTTTTGTCGTGGGTTCACGGAGGACCATGTGCCATTGTGGGCTTACCCTAGGGTCTTGGATTCTGCCTTCCAACATGCACAGCATCCACCTTCCAGATGAGTAGATTTAGATAAGTAAATAGATGGAACTATACTTGATGTTTGTTAGCTGCAAGCTCAGCACTGCCAGTGTTGCCATCGTCCCCTTGTTAAAGCAGAAATGCGATCTAACGACTCTTGGTGTTCCAGACGGCTCTCTCGTTTGTGCCCCAACCGTTTCTCAGCCACCAACCCACCACGGACATGAGCGGCAAAGAGAGACGGACGTGCATCGTGGCCACTCGTCGTTCGGTGCATCGCCTGGCAGCTCATCACCTTCAATCTGCGGCCCTTGAATCGCTTCGTCGCCCTCGACGAGGTTGGACGGAGAGTTGCCGGTTTGGTGCTGAGGAGTCATGGGTGGAGAAGTACTGTAGTTGGGGGTGGGACTTTGTGCTGCAGATTGTGGAGGACCAGAAGTTTGGTTTCATTGGCCATCTAGTTGGATTTGATAAGATAGGATTTACCGGAAGACCTCCAACACCCACTAAGATGAGCGAAGGGCTCGGAGGCGGCATATTCGCAAGTATCGACGTCAACCTTGTTCACCGGGGTTCTTGTGCGATTTACTTATGTAGTCATGCTCAGCAGTAGAGAAGTGGATCAGAGGTTATAATGGGTCGAAGCACAAAGATCACACGTTGAGCTAACATTGGGCTTTTGGCAGAAACGCTGACAAGTAAGAAGGCTGCAACAACTTCTGACACCTACCTCCTCAGAATCTTTTTTACACTTTGACATACTGTTCAGAATAGATGTGGTTGGTGTGCTGCTAAGCGCCGCTCTACCAATGAGCTCTCGGTGCCAAACTTCCCCCAATTCTTCAGCAACTTTGGTGCTGCTAGGTTCTCACAGACCTCAAACTCAATCCGGAGACCGTGGAATGGAAGGTGCAGCACTTGGACACACCGTGGGGGGAGCTACGCCACGCGGCGTAGCCACTGCGCGCGACCGACGCGTAGCAAATTAGACGGGTCTCATGTCCAGCCATGTCACTGAGGTTCCAAGGTACTTCTTGGATGGGAAGGAGTGCAAAGAAGAGATTGAGGACAAACAGCACAAGATTGACCACTGCCGGGGGCTTGAGGACTCCAAACAGGGTTGAAATATCAATATCAATTTCAAGCCATGGCATGCAGCCATGGCATGCAGTTGTTCTTGTCCAAAGCGGGATTGACGGTTTGACCAAGGGCTGGGAGTCTTTGGCATGCCTTTGGAGCCAGATGACCTGCTGGATAAGAAAGACCCTTTTGAGGTCCCAAGTGTTGTGGTCGTGCCAGCCGAGGGATGTGATGATTGTGATGTTCGTCAGCTGTCTCAGTTAGAGCCCGGATCTTTTTGTTTGGGCTCGATTGACTGTCTGGTGCGGGGGGGTGGGCTTCCACCCCACCGACTCTCCACCGACTCTCCACCGCCCAGCGGACCTCGCCAGGTTGGCCTTACCACAGATCAGGCGGTGCGGGGCCTCGCTTGGAGTGGCCACTCTCCAGCGGACTGGGTGACGCGCTGGGCGATGCGCCCGGGCCGGCGGAGGACGACTGGCCGACGGGCCGACGGAGCGCGCGGCCGATGCAAGGTGGCCATTATCCAGAAGAACGAGCGCGGCCGAATGAACATTGTCAAAGCTGCCACGTACTTGGTTCTTTGCATGTTTGAGCGTTGATTTCGTACAGTGCAGTTGTAATAATTCATCCATTCCAGTTGCTTAGCCTCTACTTTTCCTTTCCTTATGACAGCCCAACAAAAGGAGACAGCGGAGGTTCTACTGTAAGTCTTTGTGACGTGTTAAGGACCACCGCGTCCAGTTCTTCAAAGCGTCCAAGAAAGACGCCTCCAAAAAGCAGGAGAGACTGAGAAGTTTCTGAATGATCAAGAGAGATGACTTGGGATACTTGGGCGATGAAAACAGCGTGAGTTCAATCTAGAAGCTCAGCTGGTCCCGGATGGACGAGGAGTCTGCTGAAGATCCTCTGGAAAGTCAGGCCTTTGCCCTGGATAGTTGAATCCTGCTTTCTTGCCTTCCTGCATCGGTAGAGGCTCCTAGCGCTTAAATTGTGTGTTTTTGTAGTTTCTTGTGCAGTGAGGTTCTAGCAGCAACCCGCATTGCAGCGCACTGGAAGCGCAAGGCAAAGGAAGCCTGCTTGAATGATTTGAAAGACATGTGGAAGGTTCTCTTCCTTTCATGGCCACAGTCTTCTTTCTTGCCCATAGGTTGACCGCCGGCGCTTTTTGAAAATGCGCGAGGAAGAGTGCAGAACTTAAATACTTCTTGGCTTCAAGTAAAAGGCTGCCCTGGACTCCGACTCATGCGAGAAGGTTGTTTGGTGTTTGAGGTCAAAAGCTGTTGCGAGTCGAGTCAGAGCTTCCCGAGTCGAAACGCATCTTCGACCCAACTGGTTGGATGGCTCCAGCGAGGTTTGAATTTCTTGGTATGGCTCCTCCAAAGAAAGATAAGGCTCGGGTGGGAGAGTGGACTAGGGAGGTGAGCACCTATGAACGCTGGTGGTCGTGGCCGGTCAGGGGGTCCCCACTCTTGCTAAGAGGCGGCCCCAACTCACGGCGGTTGAACGAACATGAGGGAGGTCCTGATACTTTGTTAGGCTGTGTTTGCCGAGCAGGGATCGTTTGGAGTGTGACAACTGTCATTCCGGATAGAGTACCCTGAAATAGGTCGACCCTTTGGCAGAGTTCCGACCAGTCTTGGCTGGCTGTTTCCAGGAAAGTTTTTCGTCAGTTGAGGGCGTATGAAGGTTCCAGCAGGTTGCAGCAGGTTCCCGGGGCCCCTGGTTTCAGGTTCATGGCAAAGCCCCACTTATGACTCATTTGACCGGGATGGAAGCACCTGTGACTCGACCCGATCAAGTCGAAAACGCGAGCATCGCTTCACTGGCTAAAAGGTCCAACAGATGGGCCGATCGGTTGATGTGTTGATTTGTTGTGCTGACTTTGCACGCAGGGAGAGACTGATGTGATTGCCGAGATGCAAAAGCACAGAGAAAACAGGACGCGGGTTCTGCCTGTTGGAAGACAATTACATAGCTGACAAACCTTCCATGTTTTTGTGTCATAGGCTTTTGGGTGTTTGACTCAGGAAAAAGATGCAAGAGGACGCCGATGATGTGTTTGAAAAGGCCAGTGATAAAAAGTCAAAAGTATATTGAACTCATCATTTATCATTTAACAACTGCATGTCAATGGTGACCTGGCTGCTAGGCACTCAAGCAGCAGCTGGAATGGCTGCAGAAAAAGAAAGGGGCTGACATCAAGGCATCCGACGGCATCCGGCGGCATCCGATGGCATCCGATGGCATTTTCTCTAGCATCTGACGCTCCAACCATCTCCAAGATTTCCCTAACGGCCCTGGGCCGTTAAAGTGATATCTGATATAAAGGTCTCTCATTCTTCAATATTCGGACCATTCTCCAAGGTCACCCTTCCACATCTCACGGGTCTCGGAATTCAAAGAGGTGAGGGAAATCAATGAACACCGTCCAGCTGATGTCAAGATTGGACAGCTGATCGACCAGTGGCCATCCGTCAAGTTGACCTGAATTCTCATGGACAACTCTTCGGTTCACCTGGTCGTCGAAGTCAAGGCTTCCTTTTCGGTCCACGTGACCGTCACGTGAGGCCGAACTCCTTGAAGAACGTCGACAGTGGATCCTCGAGTACTGTCAGGACTGATACTCTTCGGCGACATGCTTCGAAATAAACGAGGATTTTGAGAACTGAATCTTTTGCAGACTCTCGTCGAAAGTTCAAGCAAAACGGGGACATTTTTGGAGTCGTGACATCTCTCGAAATATCTCGGAATGAGATCTCAGCCTTCCCACCAAAGATGGGAACCTCGACTTATCCAAAAGAATCCAAGATATTTTTATTTCTTCGTTCTTTCCGTTGTTACCCGTTCGGCCCGTTGCCTCAGTCCATCAGTGTAGGACCCGGAGCACGGAAAGGAGTTCCCGGAGAAGTGGCAAGCTGAGAAGAGCCGAGTCGATATTGTTTTGCAAAGAAGTGCTAAAGGTGCTAATCGGATTAATCTTCTTGATTTCTGTGCCATTTCTGTGCTGTTTGAGTCGGTTTGAGTCTGTGTGTGCTGTAGGTTTGATGCATTTTACCAGCGCTTTGACCAGAACAATGCCCCTGCCTTACGCACAAGCACAGCATCAGCCAACTTCAACTTGATGTGCCAACCGATGTTGAAATTGTGAAGCGCTATGATTGCTGCCAAGGAGGATGAAGAAGGAGACAAAGGAAAAGATGGCAAGAAAGGGAAGGCTTTCGTGTTGCTGCATTGATCAGCCCAAATGAGTATTAGAAAGAGTGTGCTCATGGCAGGATGCCAAAGGAAAAGATGATAAAGCCAAGGGAAAAGGAGGAAAGGGTGGGAAGAAAGGCGGCACACCGAGTTCGATGCGATAAACGAACACCGAGTTCGGTTCGTGTGTGTTTGTTTGTTGTGTGTGTGGCGCGCAGCCGAGCTGTGCCGTTGCGATGTCAAGCGTCTCGATGTCCCGAACAATGGTGCACGAGAGCTCTCTCTCTTTTAAACCTTGGAATGACCGGCACGTTTTGAGCTGGATGATGCTGGATGGGGCTACTTGTACTGGGCTCGTGCCGTGGGCTCGTGCCGTGGTGTTCAGACTTGCATGGACTGTCTGCAGGGAAAGATGGCGATGGAGAGGAGGAGCCTTTGGAGGTTCTGTCCCCAGATTGTCTGAGGACAACTTAGGAGAAGGAAGAAGCTGAGTTGTGGGGAATTCTCCACGATCTTTCAGTTCACATCACACTCCCTAGAGAAGCTGAGATGGAGAATCCCGGGATTCGGACTAGCTGGCTACCGAGTTCGCTACAGTAGTGGCTACCGAGTTCGCTACAGTAGTGCCTTAATTCGCCTGGGGGGGGTTGCAGGTGGTGTTCGACAGAAGAGACCCTTACGACGGAAGAGACCAAAGGGGTAGACGAGTCCATTTGGCGTCAAGTCCATTTGGGGGTTTTACACTACCAATCTGTTGCTTTCCGATCCCCATTCACCACGGGCCACGTGGGGGTTGTGGGGAGAGCCCTGAAAAGCCATTTCGTCAGCGGTGAATTGATGCAAACGCCGAGGATTTGGGGGGAGACCGTACTTAATTGGAGACCTCTAGGGTTTTTGAAGAACCAGGGTGGACCTTGCTTTGCCCTCGCCGCAATCGTCAGCTGGCTCACAGAAGATGTGGAACCAAGTCAGAGAAGAGACACATAGGAAACGAAAGAGAAGCCGAAAAGATTGACAGCTTGGTGAACCAAACGTCGTGACCGCGTCGCAAGATTTGCAGCTGTGGGCAGCAATCCGTATGTGTTTTTGAAACAAACCATTTCAGAGCAAGACGAACTGAGCGACCATCAACTCCAAATGCCAACAGCAGCACCCCCGAGTTGGGTCCGCAACACCCCCTTCCGCCACGGAAACTCCTTCTTCCGCCGTTTCGGCGGAATCCACGACAACAGCCCAGCCACAGCCTGGTCACCCGTGCGCCCTGTTCGCTCGTAGTTCCGGCCAACCCGGGTGGGGGTTGAAGGAGAACCCCGAATGAGTTGGTGGCCGGGCAGCTCAGGTTGGGGGGCAGGTGGGGGGCATGTCATGGATGCGGGTGGGGTCTTTGGAATCAGAAGGATCAAAAGTGAATGGGAGATGATGGGAGGATGTTTTCGACAGCTGATTCATGCGCTGCAGATGCTCAGAAAAACGGACGGCTTGATGTGGTTGTGCCTCTTCTCGTGGATCCCTTCGTCCCGAATGAGAAGATTCCAAAAAGGGGGCGTCTCTAGGCACCCAACACGGTTGCTAGCGCGGAGGAGCTCTCTCCCAAAGTGCCTCCATTCTGGGATTTCTTTCTGAGACCTGAGCCGAGTCGAAAAGAGCCACGAAAACAGCTGACCGTGGAGGTGTGGGGCCTTGATTTCCCACGAACGGCTTTGAGTTCCGAGGAATGTGGGGCTTTCTCCGAGATGCAGAAGGCTGTTCCAGCGCCAGCTCTTCTCCCGCCTTTTGCTTGCCTCGTGTTCGCACCTTCTCACGGGTGTCAGTCCGCGTGTCGGTCAAAGCAAACCATGATTGTTGCTCACCCTGAAAGAATTTCATCCGTGGAACATGCTCCCAGCGCCTGCACCCCGTGGGGGGACACCCCACCACGGCGACGAGCGGCGACTGCGGCGCTCACCGGTCTCGCCAGTCTCCTCGGAGTGCATCAACCGGGGACTGATGCTGCCGATGAGCCGAGAGAGTTGGGTCCTGAAGGAGGCGCCACGGCACGGCGGCGAAGCGCGCAGCATGAAGCAGAGCCCACCAGTTCTGGGAGTTTGCAAAGGATGAGAAGGGAGAATGGTCCGAAATTCTTGGAGACCGATTTCCAGGGTCAAATGATGTTCAAGACTCAATCATGCTACACCTCATCATGGTGCAACTGCAACTGGTTGGTCTTTTTGTTCACGCGTAACGTGGTGAGAGAGAATTATTTTGGAACTGGAGCCTGGCAGGCCTGCACGATCGGCAATTGCACCTTGAATGACAGTGCGGTAGCTGCGCAAGTCCTTGTCCTTGGCCAAGTCTTGTAATTGCTGTGAGTCCTTGGATTTTCAGATTTCTGTTTTGAAGATGTTGGCTCATTTCCAAGGCCAGCCATGAGCCGTGCCAAGCTTTTTCCAGACCCCAGTCGAGGCAAAGCTCCAGGCGGGAATTTCAATCAAACGCCATCCATCCTGTCCTGTTCAGACACTCAGCCTCAAAGACAGGAAAGTTTTTCTCAAAACTATAAAGCGTTTCAAGATGTTTCAAGTGGATCCCAGATGTGTCCCAACACCCCAATTGGACCGAGACCCAAAAACGGGCCCCATTTTCTTTTTTTTTCACCTCGCTCAGCGCGTTGGCGAGGCCCAGGACCGGTTCCAGGCCGTCTTCCGTGGGGGGCTGTCGAAAGCCAAAGCGCCCGGCCGCCAGCCTTGCAGCAGCTCGGCCGAAAAACGGGGGAGGGTGGTTGTTGTTTCCATTTTCTTTGTCACTGTCATATATCAAGAACTTGGATGTATTTCATATTGCGAGTCAGTCCGCACAAAACAAGAAGTGTACCAAGCACTCTTGAAGGCCCCTTCAAAACTTTCGAAACCAGCCATTAACTTGGCGACGTTTGGCTCAAGAAAGAAAGGTCCGAGTGTATCTGCACTCACATGGGTTATGAGCCCAAGCAGATAGGTGAAGACCACCCGGACTTTTGATCCGGTCGATGGCCGCCATGGATCGGCGTCGGGAAGCCTCAAAGACGAGGAGAAGGACCGCGGATGAGCAGCTGGACGAGATGCTTGCGGAGCATCGGGCGAAGTCAGCGCCACCTCGACGGGCACCTGCGCTGAAGCGGACTGCGGCGACGCCAAAGCAGAGCCCGGTCCCATCGAGACCTCAAGAGGTGGTGCCAATGCCGGTCTTCCCGGATGTGCTCGAGTCTGCTGCCCCTTCCTGGTGGACGGCAAGGACAACCTGGTGGAGGTTTTGGAACAGGTGCGGCAGCCCTACTTCATCAACCCCCAACACTTTTGGTGGGTTGAGCTTTTTGTCTACACCTTTCCCAGGCAATGCCTTGAGGAGTGGAGTTCCGGCCCAACTACCAGTTCTTCCAGAACGAGGAGATCTACGAGGTCATCCTGGTGGTGGTGGTCTACATGCGGGACAAGTTCACCAACCTGAAGCTGGACAAGGAGAACCAGTGCCTGGGGTGAGTGGGAGTCCTCTGGGGCTCAGTCAAACGCAGAGTTCACCGATCAACCCATGGACGGCTGCCAAACTTCAAGAACAACAAGCCGGTGTGGCTACGGATCAGGTGGAAATTTTCCGACTCCAGTGTCTTCGTGAAGCCGAACAAAGGTTCGCGGAAGGAGTCAAACATATGGTGAGTGTGGGGCGTCCCTCTTCAGATGCCTCCTTTAAGTCGGTCCCAGAGGGCTCAGGTGTCGGCGGACCAGAGGGCGATGGTGGCAGTGGGCAACCTGCTGGACAAGGACATCATCCGCAAGGTGGCCAAGGCCTACAACCGGGCGCTGGAACTCAACCTATGTCGTCTTCGGTGACTTCGGGGACTACGAATGGTCAGAACCCTGGCATGCAAGCAGCCGGGACTATGACGAATGGTCAACATCCTAGCATGCAAGGAGCTGGGATGGGGACGATGGGAATTGGACCTCTCTTCATGGTGGTGGACCTGGCGGTGGTGCTGTTCCTGGAGGTGCCGGAATCGGGGCTGGTGGCTCCGAAGAGCGCATGAACGAGAGCCTTCGCAACGTGGAGTTGCCGGTCTTGCCATTGGACGCCAACTCGTTGACCTTCGGCGACTGGCTGGTGACCATAGAGCCACTAGTGTCAGATGTGAGCTCTTCGGCGGGAGACTGGTGGGCAGCAACAATCAAAGGGGTCGAGGAGCACTATGCAGTGTGGTTGTCCTCGGAACCTCTCCAACGGCTCAGGCAACCTCTACGGCGGCAACCAAGTGGCCGAGGACGGAGAGGAGAATGACCAGTTTGCTGCTGCAGGCGGTGCCTGAAGTGATTCGGTCGGAAGCAGTGGCGGCGAGGAAGTTGAGTGCGAACGCACAGGGTGGTGGGCAAACAACCTCCTACAAGTGAACCACAAGTACCAGGTCCACCACGGGCTTCGCATCCTACCACGGGGGGGGATTCTTCGCCTTTGTCAACTTCGCGCAAGGCTACATCAGGTGGGGATGCAGGTGGGTGGTTGGACCTTCAGCCCGTGGACAAGGAGGACATATGGCAAGACCAACAGCTGGACTTCCCTATATCGTCGACGGCGACTTCCGCAAGAGGTGTCAGGGCTATGAGAACGCTGGGCACGGGGGAGGACGACGCGCAGGGCTATGTGGGGAAGCGGCTGGTGAAGTTGGACAAGTTGCAACGGTGTGGGAGCATCAACATGAAGTTGTACAAGGCCAGCTGCAGCTATGGTTGGACTACGTGCCGGAGAACGAAGAGCAGGGCAGGGTTCAGGGGAACTTTGTGGAGCACTTCGTGGGGTGGCGCGATGAGATTGAGGGTCGCCTGACCGAGTTGGCGCGCAAGGAACAGAGCGAAAGGGTGCGATTGGCCAGTGTGCAAGCTGGTGACGCAGTGCTGCAAACGGTGACGGTGCCGCTGAGTGAAGTGCGTGCAAATCCCGAGGAGTGCCGGCCTTCGAGTATGAATACAATGTCCTGGTGCGTGACAACTCAGCTGTTCGGCCAGTTCCACGAACTTCACTTCCTCACAATACTGAATTAGTGCCTGGCAAAATGGTGTGCGTCCGCAAGGGCGGAACCGGTGCAAAACGTGCCCGTGCAGTCATACGCGGGAACATGGCCACGCTCGGTGCAGACCCGCCACCAGAGAACAGCCCAGGAGGGGCTTACGCCTCAGGCGCTGACGGCACTTTGATCAGAGCGGCAATACGCCAAGCTGCGCACCAGGAGTGGCGGGTGAGCTCGCTAGATGTCAAATCGGCATTCTTACAGGCACCACGTCCCGTACTTGAAAATGCTCGACCAAACCTCCTCGCATCATGGTTCAGTTGGGCGTGGTGGCGGCAGACGAAGTGTGGTTGATAGACAAAGCCCCATACGGGTTTACAAGTTCGCCAGCACATTGGGCGGTTCACAGGGACTCCGTGTTGGCATCCATCCGTTGGCAACAACAACAAGATGAGTTCTTCCTCGAGGTGACGCGTGAGCGCAACTTGTGGAGGGTGATGAAGCGGGGATGTGCGCAGCCGCAGGGGCTACTGTTGGTCTACGTTGACGACCTCCTAGTGCTCAGTGGGGAGGAGGTGCGCCAGGCCCTGATCCGTGAGATTGAAAGCCACTGGCAAACGTCGGTGCCCGAGGAGGTGAACCGCCAGCAGTGGGTCAGGTTCTGTGGCTATGAGATGAAGCGCTTCGAGGACCAGATCATGTTGGGACAGCCCTCCTTTCTCCGGGACTTGATAAAGCGGCGACAGGTTACTGGCAAGAGGTAGGACATGATGCCTCCTGAAGAACCTGAACAAGATGTAACTGTTGCTCACGTCCGCGAAGCTCAGTCCATCGCGGGGGAGATTTTGTGGATCGCCTTGAGGTCCAGGCCGGATTTGTCCTATGCGGTGAGCACGTTGGGAAGGCAGGTAACCAAGAATCCAAGGTGGGCAGTCGCCTTAGGGGAGCAGATTC